AATTCCACATCTTGTAGAGTAAGGCCTACTGTTTATCTTGATACTTCACTCCACATCTTGTAGAATAAGGCCTACTGTTTATCTTGATACTTCACTCCACACCTTGTAGAATAAGGCCTACTGTTTGTTTTGATACTTCAATCCACACCTTGTAGAATTAGGCCTACTGTTTGTCTTGATACTTCATTCCACACCTTGTAGAATAATAGTTTGTGTACAACTGCACAGTACTATTTAGATATATGACCATATGTAATACTATACAGTATATACACCCAAGTTTTTATTTAAGATAATTTTGTAATATGAACATAATAAAAAGTATTTTATATACGCTTAAAGAATCTGAATTACTCTTTTATTTCGATTTTTCAATTAAGCTTATACTTGTCCATCATTCGGTAATTTTTTATCTCACAGGATTAGCATGTTAACAGGTTATCCTGTTTGTAACAGATTCTCGGTTAATTAAAAATAATGTCTGTAATATTTTATCTCACAGGATTAGCATGTTAACAGGTTATCCTGTTTGTAACAGATTCTTGGTTAATTAAAAATAATGTCTGTAATATTTTATCTCACAGGATTAGCATGTTAACAGGTTATCCTGTTTGTAACAGATTCTCGGTTAATTAAAAATAATGTCTGTAATATTTTATCCTACAGGATAAGCATGTTAACAGGTTATCCTGTTTGTAACAGATTCTCGGTTAATTAAAAATAATGTCTGTAATATTTTATCCTACAGGATAAGCATGTTCTTCATTAACATAGAATCTACGACTATTACTGTTACAAACAGGCTAACCTGTTAACATGCTTATCCTGTAGGATAAAATATTACAAACATTATTCTTCATTAACATAGAATCTACGACTATTACTGTTACAAACAGACTAACCTGTTAACATGCTTATCCTGTAGGATAAAATATTACAGACATTATTTTTAATTAACCGAGAATCTGTTACAAACAGGATAACCTGTTAATAATGTCTGTAATATTTTATCCTACAGGATAAGCATGTTAACAGGTTAGTCCTGTTTGTAACAGTAATAGTCGTAGATTCTATATTAATGAAGAATAATGTCTGTAATATATAATATAGTTACAAAACTGCAAGTATTTGGTTTACAGCAATACAACCACCAGCCTCAGGAATGTCTACTGTTAAGCCAACCCATTCGAACTCCGAAGGATGGGTAGGACATCCACTGGATCCAATTGGCTCCCTTTTTGATACTTTGGCAGAGGCATCTCTAATCCCTGAATGTAAAGGTTGTTTAGACCATTTTTATGGTGAGTGTTCTACACGTTTTTCTTCTTTAGACATGTTTATGTAAATGTTTATTTTACTTATCAACTTTTAGGATTTTTATAAAAGCAATGATAGAGCAGGTGTAAAAGCAAAAAAGAATTGCTTGAATTTAAATTTTAAAGATATACTTCATACAAAACCATAATATTAATTTGATATAATTTAAATTTTATAGCTATACTTCATACAAAACTATAATATTAACTTGATATAATTTAAATTTTATAGCTATACTTCATATCAAACTATATTATTAACTTGATATAATTTAAATTTTTAAGCTATACTTCATACAAAACTATAATATTAACTTGATATCATTTAAATTTTATAGCTATACTTCATATCAAACTATATTATTAACTTGATATCATTTAAATTTTTAAGCTATACTTCATATCAAACTATAATATTAACTTGATATCATTTAAATTTTATAGCTATACTTCATATCAAACTATAATATTAACTTGATATAATTTAAATTTTTAAGCTACACTTAAGTTATACAAACTATAATATTAACTTGATATCATTTAAATTTTTAAGCTATACTTAAGTTATACAAAACTATAATATTAACTTGATATCATTTAAATTTTTAAGCTATACTTCATACCAAACTATAATATTAACTTAAAATGTTTACATAAAACTACCATGGTTTAACACTCTCCCAGTGACTCAGCAGTATGTTTGTGAGCTTATAAGGCTAAACATCAGGTTTCAATACCCATGGTGGCCACAACACAATAGATTATTGTGCAGCTTTTTGCTTCATTACAAAGAAAAATAATATAAAAGAGTTCAATATTATTGTAACACCTTTGTTAACAGAAATCTGGTTTGATTTTAAATCTTGTTTTTTTTCCTCTTAAGTTATCAATAAGTGTGGTTTAAATAGTAAAATATTAGCAACTAATAAATGTAAAATTTGGGATAAAAATCATGTAAATTGCATGTTTTTCCACATTTCTCTTAATTTGCATATTTTAGATTCAAAATCAGAGGTATGAAAAAAAAACAGCATTTCAGATCTGTCTTTGGTCTCTCACAAGTCACTGTCCAAAAATCATGTTTTACACACTTCTGATTTTGAATCCAAAATGAACAAATTTAGAGGAGCGTATTAAAATAAGTCAGCAGTTAACATGATTTTTATTATAAATTTTAGGTTTATTAATAACCCATAAGTAATATCATCTCTTCTGTGAAGTTGTATTTTGGAGTTATTGATCATTTTTTTGAAAATTTGATGACAAATTTTGAGACTTTTCATAAATGTACGTGCATAAATTATATTAATGTAACTTGTTAGTGGGTGTGATGATAAAGCAAGGTATATGTACAGCTCCAGGGTTGTGAGGCAGTTAGCTCTTTTCCATCCAACCAATGATAGTACATATATTTTGTGGCATGTGTTGAGTTTCTTACTTACAGTTGGCATATATGTACATATCTTAGCAGACTTCATGACTATTGTGAGCCAAGAGGATACTAGCAACTCTGGTCGAGAACGACCACGTTATCAACATGTGGTAGTCCCAGGGAGTCGAGATCACTGTGAGAGTTTTCTTTCTCTGGCCGTGGAAGCTGCTCTGATTGGGTTAGGTCAGCAAAGGCTTATGCCGTCGGGTGTTTATTCTCAGGAAAAATCTTGCAAACAAGAGGAGAGACTCATTACGAAGCTGCAGGACATCGAACTTGATGGTACACTGGTAGCAGTACTAAGAAAGCAGGCCATGCTACTTCTTGAAGGTATTTTGATTTTTTTTTAGCAAGTTTTATATTTTACATTCCTGTGAAATTTGATTACTGAGAATTAAAGTTTGGAATTTTTTTATGATTGTTTATATAGTATCTGTGGATGATTTCAAACCTGAAAACTTTCAAAAATTTATATTTTTACTAAAAGATTATAGCTTAATTAGCTGTGATAAGTTTTACCGGTATTAATTACTGTGATTTTTTACATTTGAAAAATAACATTTGCTCATTTCTAGATGTCACTAAAAGCTCCTTTACAATTACAGGACATTTCCAACTTTCATCTGGCAGCCAAGATTTTAATAGGAGATTTTCTGACTGACTGACTACAATGATAATTATTGCATTACTAACCACTGTACCCCCCATCCCCAATGGCTCAGCAGTAAGATTAAAGGCTTATAAAGCTAAATAATCAAGATTTAAACCACAGATAACTCATTGTTTAGTTTTGTGCTTGACTTCAAACAAACAAACAAGCTTATAAAGCTAAATAATCAAGATTTAAACCACAGATAAGTCATTGTTTAATTTTGTGCTTTACTTCAAACAAACAAGTAATGCATATTTTT